CGGTGGGCGGGGCCGGGAGGGGCCGGGAGCCGGTAAAAGCCGCGCAGGATGGAGCTCCTCACGGAATCGGTGGCTATGGAGCGTGTGTCCTTCCCGCTGGCACTGGGCCTGGGCCTGCTCGCATTCTGCCTTCTGACGCTGTCCCCGGACGTCCGCGCCGAGCTGCGGAGCCGCAGGACCGGAGAACGCCAGTACCTGTCTCCAGATGACCCAAGGGTGCAGAAGGCGGCGCAGGCAGCTGTGGCCAGCTACAATATGGACAGCAACAGCCTCTACTACTTCCGAGACACCAAAGTCATCGATGCGAAGTATCAGGTGTGGTGGCTGGGGATGTATGGGACAGAGTGGGACAGAATGCTGTGGACAGGGAGCGGGACAATTTGGAGAGGGAGAGGGGTGCGGGGGAGGGAGCAAGCCAGAGAGCGGCTTGGCCAGCTACCAAACACAAGGGGGCACTAAAACCAATCACAACGCCCGGTCCATTCCACAAAATACTTGCCAGCAAAACAAAACCGATAAAACGGCAAAACCTATGGCAACCAAACCTAAATATCGAAGAAATGCAAGATTCAACCTCCTTTGGCATAACTAACTCACTGCCCTACTCCTGCCAGACGGAGTGGGAGGGGCCACCCTCCTCAGCTACCTAGCTGCAGACAGGTTTCCTGCAGGGCCCAGGGCTCTGCCGTCACCCCTAAATCACACCTAGAAGCCCTCCCCTCCCCTCCAGGTCTGAATGCTTTTAGGCCAGAGGAAGAGAAAGAGTAGAAACACAGGCTGGCCTCCCAGGCGTCTCTCACCTGCCCTACCTTATCCTCAGCTGGTGGCGGGCCTCAAGTACTACCTGCTTGTGGAGATGCAGAGCACAGAGTGCAGAAAGACCAGAGTCTCTGGAGACCACATGGACCTCACCGCCTGCCCCCTGGCAGTAGGTGGACAGGAGGAGGTAAGATCACCGGCCCCAGTCCAGCCACGTGCAGAATCTGAGGCCCTTAGCTCGTCCATCCTGACTAGTCTATCTGGTCAGGCAAAGGCCTGGCTGGACCTGTCCTGTCCGGCCTTTGTGTGATTCGGGCCAGGGTGGGGTCCCGGAAGGAGAGACTGGGGCTTTCTCTTGGGGTGGGAGTTGCCTGATAGATCTGGGATCATCTCCTGCCATCCAACTTCATGTTTTGGGACCAGTTGTAGTCTGTCCCTGGCTCCAGAAAGAAGTGGCAGGCAGAGGGCTGACTGCTGGGAGGAGGAGGCTGGCACCAAGCTCAGCCTCCTTGTCCACTCTCCTCCCTCCTCAGAAGCTGCGCTGCAACTTTGAGCTCCTTCAAATCCCCTGGAGGAACACCACTCAGCTTCTAAAGCATGACTGCGTGCGGATGTAGCCGGCCCCGGGGTGCCAGTGGCGGGCCCCCAAGAACAAGCATGGTGATGGAGGCAGCTCAGGGCCATGGGCCATGTCTGTAGCAATAAATCTGTAGCTCTGCTTCTTGCATTGGTTTCTCCTGTGTGTTTCACTCACCCTGAGCCTCAGTCTGCTCTCAGTGACTCTCAGAACCCCACAGCTGACAGGGTCCTGCGCCCTTGCCCCCGGGCAGCACGGAGGAGGATGTGGCCCTCAAATGGGAAGCCCTTCTGCTAGACACTTTCAGTGGACTCAGAGATAAGGAAGAAACAAAGTCTTGGGAGAGAGATGTTGCTCCGAGACTAGTTACAGTAGGGATGTCTGTGTGAATGGGACCAGCATCTTTTCCTGGGTTCATGCTGGGACTCTGAGGGGAAGGACAGAAATGAGAAAAGACAGTCAAAAGCTGGGGTCCGGATGGCTGCAAAGGGTGATGACCCAGGCCAGAGAGTTTATTAGTGGCAGAGCTCTTTTTATTGTCCTCAAATGAGGACACAGTAAAGAACACCCGACAGGGAAAGGGACCTCGTTTTCCTTCAGCGAGATACGCTGTGCGACAGCAAACACAGCACTTCATGTCTCAGTGTCTGCAACTTTTTTTTTTTTTTTTTTTTTTTGGTGTTTTGAGACAGGGTTTCTCTGTGTAGCCCTGGCTGTCCTGGAACTCACTCTGTAAACCAGGCTGGCCTCAAACTCAGAGATCTTTCTGCCTCTGCTGGGATGAAAGGTGTGCCCAGTGTGTCTGGAACATTTGACCACATACAGCTGGAGGAAAGGTCAAGTTCCCAGACTTCGGCCCTCTGAAGCCCTGACAGCAGGCCACAGCTGGCCCTAAGGGGCCTAACTCTGATTGCATAGGCGGCCCCCAGGCACTCTTCAATCCACTCTAGCCCAAACCCTCAGTACTCACCAGTAGTGTGAGATGTTTGTGGGTGCTCAACTCCACGGGCCCCACGGCACTGGGTTCCCAGGTCACAGATACTCCCATGCGTACTGTGGCTGGAGGTGACTTCCTTTCTCTCAAAGTTTCCATAGGCCAAGAGGCCCCAAAGCCACTCACATCCTTCTCAGGAGGCTTTTCTCAGTGTTTCTCTCTGGGAAAGATTTCTAAAGGAACCTGGGCTGTGGATCACCAGAGGGAAGAGTGAACTTGCTACCTGGAGGGGTAACTCTCACGGGAGGGACAGGGTCCAGTCAGTGTCATGTTGGATTGGAGGAAACAGGTGTTAGAGTCTTTGTGCACTTATTTGCAGTTGCAGTTCTTGTTATACATTCGTTCAAACAGAGAGAGGAGGGAGGCAGTCACAGGACCCACTCAGGTGCTAGCAGACATTCTAGACATTCCCTGAACATGATAGCAACACAGCCTAGAAAAGCGTGAGCAGAGACAACAGGCACACAGCACATGCTTCAGAGAAGCCGGAAGTAGCCCAGTGCTGAGTACCCGGCACCCCGCCCCCCAAGCCAGCACTTGCATCATGTGCAGAAGTCTTGCTTGGAGACATTGACATCTCCACCCGGGAGGTGGGCCACAGTCATGGGTTGATTTGGAGTACTAGGTGGTACCAGGCTCAATCTGGCATTATGGGGGTGTGTGTGTGTGTGTGTGTGTGTGTGTAAAATGTCTGCTCAATGCCTCCTCCTAAGGTCTCACACCTAACTTGTTCCTGTCTGACTCGCCCCTCCGCCCCAATTATGTGACCTCATGGTCAGCAGCTGAAGCTGGGATCCTCTCTACTGTTCTCAAAGGCCACATCATGGAGGGAATGGAGGCTGACCACTGCCCAGGAAGCCTGACACACTGAGGGGGATGGGTTTGACATTGCCCCAGGGGACTGCTTGTATCCTTTCTCTGCTGGAACCGGATACCCATGGCAGTTTCGTTTGTGTTGTGTCATCACTGGTTGGAAAGTTTTCCAAGTTCTTTCAAGCAGGAGACACCAAGCTCGGAGTCAGTATAGGACAAGTGACAGGAAAGACTTGTTGAATGAATGTGCGCAGGCTGGGGAGAGGCAAGATGCAAGGAAGGCTGTCTCATGGCTTCTCCGCCCCTGGAATCAGTGCCCACATCCCAGATGGCATTTCCTCTGCTTGATGTATTCCTGGGCCTGGGCATGCCTAAGCATGGTTAGAGAGCTTTTGTCTTAAAAGACTGCATTGCTGCCTGGACCAGGCCAGTGCTGAGTATAGGTGTTGGTCAGACCCCCAGCTCCCATTCTGGAGTCCCTCCAGCCCCCATGAAGAGGAAGCTGGTTATAAATGATGGAAGTTGACCAACCATTGATGGGGAGCTCCTGGGCTGGAACTGAACTCCATCTAGACTCAGTGCTTTGCACAAGGGTCCCATTGGTAGTCCCACAGTGGACACAGGGTTTGAGGATACCCTGCCTGGGTTAAAGTGTACTTCTAAGCCCTAAAGCAGGCTGGGCAGAAGCAGCCATTTTCTGTGGCTGTCCCCCAGCAGTAACAGGTCCTTGTTACATGGCCCTGTGCCTGCCTGGAGGCTAAGAGGCCCCCTCGATCCTTTCACTGAGGTTTGGTAGTCTTACTTCAGGTAGGGAAGGGGATGTGAATGACTTTTACCTTCTAGGGTTTTTAATTAAAAAAAATTTATTTATGTGTATGTGTGTCTCTGTGTGGATTGTACATGTGGGTGCAAGGCCCATGGAGGCCAGAAAAAAGTCAGATGCTTTAGAGCTAAATTATAAGAGGTTGTAAGCAGTCTGATGTGGGTGCTGGGATCTGAACTTGGATCCTCTGAAAGAGCAGCAAGTGGTCTTTTTGGTTTTTGTTTTGTTTTGTTTGCTTTTTGCTTGGATTAAAGGTGTGTGCCACCACACTTGGCCCTTTTGGTTTTTTGAGAGTGTTTCATTGTTGTTGCTTTGTTTTGGAGGGATAGCTTTTGGGGGGGGGTTGTTTTGTTTTGTTTTGTTTTCAAGACAGGGTTTCTCTGTGCAGTCCTGGCTGTCTTGGAACTCCCTCTGTAGACCAGGGATCTTTGTGAGACCTCACAGAGATCCACCTGCCTCTGCCTCCCGAGTGCTGGGATCACAGGCATGTGCCAACACCGCCCATGTGGGTTCTTAATATTCCCTTTGTTTTGGTATTCTTACAGCATTCCTGGTAAGCCTGAGTTCCTGGGCGCTGGGCCCCATGCTGGCACCTGATACGTAAAAATTCTGGGATATTTTTGTCTGTTCTTTTTTTTCTTGACCCCAGGCCAGACAGGCTTTCTTCCTCTAAGGACTTTACATTTGGTCTTTCGTCAGCACGCAGACTCCTCTTTCTGTGTCACCCTTCTGATCTCTGCTAGTGCACTGATGGACTGAACGGGGAGGCTGGAACCTGGTAAGGCCAGAGGCGATCCAAGAAGAGCCCCTTCCACACACAACTCTCAACATATGCCTGTGGCCCCTGTCCAACTCCCCATGACCTTTGCTAGCTAGTGAGGACACAGAGGCACCTGGGGTTTCTAAAACTCTGTTGGGACCTCAGTCCAGCATCGTTCTGGATAATAATGCCAGCAGAGTTAGGGACTTGTCCCAATGCACCCAGGCAGGCAGCTCGCCAGCGGCTTGAGTCAATACAGTGGGATTCTTCAGGGTCACTTCCCATAATCATCTTCTCCAGCCTGTAGGGTCAGATAGGGTTCTGTGAGTGAACCAGGGACAGCCTTTGCCAATGCCATGCCACTGTGACTCAGAACCACTTTTGGGTAAGATCTCCTACCCTCAAACCTCTCCCTTCCTTTCCCCTGCCCCTGTCCCTCCTGGGTCACCTCAAATGCAGTGTCCACAATTTCATCGATGACAGATGCTTGGGAACGAAACTTCTGCTGATGAAGTTCCACCGACGCCACCAACTGCAGGAACTGGAAGTGGAGTTCCCGCTGCCTGGATGTGGCAGAGGAATGGCTGGGCTGCCAGGACCCTAACATGGCTCTCCTTGCCATGACCTAGACCTCTGTCTCCATAGGCCTCCTTCTATAGATCTCACTTTTTCACTTCTTAGTTATTTTGTGTATGTGTACATGTTTTTGCACACACGTGGGCATGTGGGTACACATGGTGTTCATATGTGTTTGTACACGTGTGTGAGTGCAGGTATATATGGGCGTATGCATGGGGAGGCCACAAGTCAACATTCGATCTCTTCCTCTACTGTTCTCCACTTTATTTTTTAAGACGGTGTCTGCCATTGAACTTGAGCTCACTGGGACCCTCCTGACTTTACCTCCTCAGCACTGGGATTACAGGTCCATGTGAGCACTGTCTCGCCTAGTGTGTTTTCTTTTGTTGTTTATTTATTTTATTATTTTATGTGAATTGGTGTGTTTTTTTTTATTTTTATGCATGTATGTCTGTACGAAGCTGTCAGATCCCCTAGAACTGAACTTACAGACAGTTGTAAACTGTCATGTGGGTGCTAGGAATTGAACTCAGGTCCTTTGGAAGAATGGCCAGTGCTCTTAGCCACTGAGCCATCTCTCCAGGCCCACGTCGTGTTTTACTTGGGTGTTGGGAATTCAACACAGATCCTCATGCTTGCATGAAGAGCACATCACAGAGAAAGCTATCTCTTCTAGCCTTTCGAATTTTTATTTTGGGATGAGTCCCCAGTGAGTTGCCCAAGACTGGCTTTGAACTTGTGATCCTTCTGCCTCCTCCTCAGGTTACTGAGGTTACAAGCATACACCCTTATACCTGGTGAGCATGTTTCGCAGTACTCAAAAAGTCTGAGTCTGGACCTAGAAGAATCAGCAGTGACTCCTCACTGAACCTCCCATCCTTCCATCTATTTATTTTTACACTTATCTTCTTGCCCATTCATCTACTCAAACCTCTCCATGGACCCATTCAACCATGGCTGATCCAACCACGTGCCCAGCCATTCACTCACCTGTGCAACCATTGCACACCTACCTACCCCTCTGCCTACGTGTTCTTCCCAGGACCCACCCCCTCAGCCTAAACAACCATCCACCCACCCAATTATTTACCTGATTCATTCCTCACTCACTTGTCTGCCCATTGGATCTTATCAACCCACTTGCCAGAAACACTGGGAATAGGAAAAGCAAGCTGCTCCGAGGATGTCGAGGTGAACAAGGAAGAGGTGTTACCCTTGGACCCAGACAACTACAACACACTGTTTAAGTGTCACTACAACGCTGAGGAAATAGCCTGGACTTTATCCAGAAGGGAAAGGAGGATCTAGGAGCAGAGCTTAAGCTCAGTGGAGAGTGAAAGGCCAAAACTATACTGAAAGATACTCTGGTGTGTGTGTGTGTGTGTGTGTGTGTGTGTGTGTGTGTGTGTGTGTG